GCCCGCCGCTCCCCTCGGCGCCGGTGCCCGCGCGGGGACGTGGAGGGGACACCCGCTCGTTGCGGCGCCGGGGGTTCCGGGCGAGCCGCGGGCGGGAAAGGCACCTGTTGGAGGCCCACGTTAGTGCGCGCGGGGCGCTGCCGGTGAAGCCCCTCACCCTGGCTGGGAGCCCGGGGCGGGAGCCTGGCGCACGCAGAGTGACCCGGCTGGTGCTCGTGCCACCGGGACACCCTCCCCGTGGGCACAGGCTGAGCGTGAGCTCTGCGGCGCCGGTGAGCCCGTGTGCAGCACTGCTGTGGGCAGCCGAGGATTCCCTGCGGAGCATCCTGCTCACGGAGCCGAGCAGGAGCGCTGCTGGCAGCCCCCTTGGCAGCTCGCCTGGGGCGGTGCACRGCAGCGCAGGGAGCTGCCCGGCGTGGGAGCGTCACCCTGGCGTGCGCTCCGCGTGGCTCCGAGTGCCCTTTCCTGCCCCACGGGGACAGGAGATGTTGGGGGGGATGTCCTCCCCAGGGGAGACGCCGCTGTGGCCACGCGGGGAAGGGCTCCCATCCATAAGTCGACCTCCCTGCGCGTCCTGCCGAGCCCCACGCTGGGGCTGTGGGGGCTGCGGGGGCTCTGCTCCGCTGCTGCCACTCGGAGCCTGTGGGGAGCACCCGGCCAGGGCTCCGGCGGGGCTCCACCCGTGGATGAGCTATCCTAGGGAAGAAGCTCCATGCAGAGGACGCTACTCAGAGCGTTGCTTGGCCCCACGCTTAAATGCCTGCAGGGGCCCCTCGGGGAGGGGGACGGGAGCGCTGCAGCACTGCAGAACCCTGCCCCGGGTGCTCCCTGTCTCCTGCCGCTCCCTTCAGGGATGCGTCCCGCGATGGGGCTGCTGGAGCCCCGCACGGGCGATRCCCGTGCCTGGGCGCTGCGGCTGCACGTGCCTCCAGCGCCAGCCTGTCCTTGCGGCTCCCCTTGAGCCGCGGCGGCGCTGCACGCTGCCGGGCGCGCGGGCTCCGCGGCCGCAGCAGGCTCGGCCGGTTTGTCCCCGCCGCGGCCGGGCGGATCAAAGGCAGCGCCGGGCGTGCGGCTCCGTGACTCAGGCCGCGCGGCTCCGCGCGCCGGGGCGCTGAGTCAAGCGGGGCGCCTGGGAGCCGCCCGGAGCCGCGGCGGGAGCTTCGGCGGGATTTGGCCTCCCTGCAAGCAGGGGGCAGCTGGAGAGCCCTGTCTGATGGGATGAGCAGAGCAGAGGCTGCGCCGGCCACGTGGGCTGCGCATCCCCTGTCCAGCCGCCAAGCACAGGACGGCTGGGACGTGGCCGGGATGCTGCCGTGTGCCTGTCAAAGCCACGCRCGGTGTGGGAGCTTCCCAGCTCCTTGGGAGCGTCCTGGCGCCACCAGGAAGACCCCTGGGAATGGCCCCCGTGTGCTGTGTGGGGCATGCCGGCAGGGCTCCCCGCCCGGCGCTGAGCGGGACCCCGGAGCACCCAATCTGCTGTGCAGCTCCCAGGGAGATGGAGCAGCCGTGCGGCGGATCCGGTGCCACCAGGGTGGCATCAGGCATGCTTCGAGATGGAGAGCCCTGCAATGGGCACTCGGGGCTGCGGTGCCACCCRCCTGCTCCAGGCAGCTCCAGCTGTTGCTCTTCAGGGGTGCCCTCTCCGTGGGTGATAGCAGGAACGCGCAGGTGTCCTGGTGCCCATTGGTTTTCCATAAGCATTYCCACAGAGCTGAGCAGAAGCTTCCAGCTCTGTAGGAGAACGCACTGAGGTTTGTGGCCCCAGGCTGCAGCGAGCCGCGCATGGGGCTTCCCAGGGACCCGAAAAAGGAGGCGAGAGCTGCTCGGCGGGCAGGAGCCCTGTCCTTGGTTTCCATCCCTGCAGCTCCACCGGGCTGAGGTGCCCACCCAGCCTGACGGGGACATGTCTGTGAAGCCAAGGGGCTGCTGCCCAGGCATGGGACTGGGTGCTGGTGTGGGTGCGAGCACCCTGCCGCCGTCCCGCTGTGCTGGAGGGAGAGCCGGACCCCCTCGCGCAGGGCTGCTCCATCCCGCAGCACCCACATGGAGCGCCCATCCCCAGCGTGGGGTCCCCAGCCGGGCGCTTCCCTGCCCTTTCCCGCCGCTGCTTTGGGACAGGGAGGCTCCGCCCGCTCCCTGCGCCGCTCCGGCCTCTCCCGGCRCTCCGGCCTTGGCCCTGATATCGGCCCGGGCTGTGTTATCTCTGCACGAGCCCGTGCACAAACAGGAGCCCCGGTGCGGGCGGCGCGGCCGCAGTGCCCCGCCAGGGCCTTGCTGCCTCCCGCCCCAGGCCTTTCCCAGGGGCTGGGGCTTCCCGGGGGCTCTGGAGCGGCTGTGGGATGGGGAGACYGAGCAGGCAGCAGCAGCAGAGCAGCTTTGGAGCCGGATCGGCTGCTGGAGGCTCCTGGAGAGGTGCCTGGTTAAGGGCTGGCGGTGGCCGCCGCGTGCAGCCCCGCTGCCCTGTCCCGCACACTTGGTGCACTTTTCATAGCATTTGGGGCTTGTTGGAAGAGCCAGCGGCCGGAGTCAGGAGCGTGTGACAGTGCGTGGGGTGCGGGGGAGAAGCCTCCTCCCTTCCCCGGCGTGGCTGGAAGGAGCAGAGTTAGCAAAGCGGGCCTGGGAATTTGGGGAGTTCCTGCCGGTCCCGTAGCTCTGAGCACCCCAGGTGTGACTGCCTGGTGAGGTGGCTCCGGTGGCAAAGGAAGGGGACCCAGAAGTGGCGCTCACAGGTGGCCCTGAGCAGTGCAGGGGCCTGCTGCAGGCCTCTCCCGAAGGGCAGGGAAGGAAGGTGCTGGGTGCTGTGCCCTGCCCTGCAGCGTGGCTGCGTCGCCACGCGCTTGGAGGAGGGTCTGGAGGGGCTGAGCTCCTGCTGTGTATCCAGCCCGTGTGCCTCGTGGAGGCTGCGCGGCCTCGTGGAGGCCGGAGGTGGCTGTCGCTGGCGGGAGCTGCAGAGCGTTTACCTGGTCCCCCCGCTGCTTGCCAGTGCTTCTCGCTCGAGGAGGACGACTTGAACTTAACATCACTGGATGCAGAAACCATCTTGGAGGCAGAAGAGATCCTGGGCACGATGCAGAACTACCTCGACTCCTCCGTGATCTCTATCATCGAGGACCTGTCCCTCAGCGAGGTAGGACATCTGTGTCCCTGCAGTGCCCTGGGGGACCCCAGCCCACTCAGGCCCCCCTGCAGCACGTGGGGACACTGGGCTCCCCCACCGTGCCAGGCTGTGTGGTGGCTTTTCTATCGAGCTCGCAGCGGTGCAGCRGGAGGGAGGGCCTGGGCTGCAGCCGCGTGGGGCTGGGGCGGCAGCCCCCCTGCGTGCCGCTGACCCTTCTCCTTGGGCAGAACAAGGCCTGCCTGGATGCGCACAACGAGCTGTCCCTGCTCACCGCCATCACGGAGATCCTGGACAGCACGGACGACGAGACCTTGTCCCCCTTCGACAACATCATGGACGCGGAGCTGCTCACCTCGCCTCGGGAGCGTGAGAATCCCTCGGTGAGTCGTGGAGCRAAGCCAGGCCTGAGCCCCGAGTGCGTGGGAAGGTGCCCCAACGTGGCAATGCCAGACGCCTTCCGGGCATGGGCATTGCTGTCCCCAGCACTTTAGGGCAGTCTGTGTGGTTGCTCCACGTTGTCTGGCTGCACGTGAGAMGGGCTGAGCTGCTCTGGGTGCCCTGAGTCTCCCATGCAAGCTCAGGGGGCCTGTACTTTTTCCCTGGAATCTGGTGCAGAGCGAGCGTGGGGAAACAGTGCCCATCTCTGCATGCCCAGCCATGGGTTGCCAGGTTTGTGCTTCCAGCTGACAATGCCAGATTAGTGCAGGGCTGCTCTGTGCCCTATCCCATCGACACAGGGTAGCAGAGCTCTGGGCAGAGGCACAAACTGCTCCAGGGATCCCCAGGGAGCTCTGCATGTTCTGCTGCCTCATGCTCTGCCCCTTTCTCACCAGTTCCAGAAGTTTCTCAGCTTATCCCGGCCGCCCCTTGAGCGCGAGAGCCCTGCCCTGGAGCAGCCCAAGGGGCTGCGGCCTCTGAGCGGCAGCAGYGTCTCCGTGGTTGGGAAGGTGAGACCGGAGCGGCGGGCGCTGAAGCGGCCGGGGTGCTCCAGGGGGATGGTGCCGCTTTTGGAGCGGCTGCTGCGCATGTGGGGCTGGGAGGGCGGCGGRGGTGGCGCTGGCTGCCCCCCGCTCGCCCCACACTGTGATCCGTGCCCTGGGCTCCGCGGGCCCTGCCAGCCCTCGTGCCCCCCACAAACGTCCCCTCCCAGCTGCAGTGCCAGGGGCCTTCCAGATTTTCCCTCCACTGTGTCCYGCTGGGGGTCCGTGCTGGCCCAGGGAGCTGACGCCGGCTCTGGTTCCCTTCCCAGGCTGACGCAGACCTGGTTTGGGACCGTGCTGCTCACAGCCTCGAGGACCCGGCGCTACCAAAGAAACAAGTGTGCAGCACCCCGAGGGTGGAGAGGAAGCTGGGCCGGCCCCGGGCCCGCGAGCAGCCCCTGCCGCAGCGCAGCGACGGGGAGGAAGAGGAGGAGGAGGCTGCCCTGAGCCCGGAGCTGGGCAGCGGCAGGGAGGCTGCGGAGCTTGGCATGAGCGGGGCCGGAGCGGCGCTCAAGGAGCGTGAAGACCCCTGTATCATCAACACGGGCAACGTGCCCCTGAGCGAGCTGGTGAAGTCCATGCACCCCTACTGCCTGCCCACCTTCACCGTGTGCCTGGACCCCGAGACGGAGCCCGTGGCCAAGGAGATCCTGAACGGTCCCGTCTTGCTGGAAATTGTGCCTGGGGAGGGAGAGAGCATGGAGATCCCTGTGGTCCTGCAACCGCTGGCACCTACCTTTCCTGACCTGCAGCCGCAGCTCCTGGGAGCAGAGGAGGGTGCTGAGGAGCCGGTTCCAGAAGATCCCAAGGGGCTGCAGGGAGCCCCTGCGCGGGAGAGCAACTTGGAGAMGAGCCCGCTGGAGAAGGAGCCCTGCGGCACAGCCCCGGAGAGCACGTCCCTGCCCGAGGCACCAGCTCCTGCAGCCTGGCGCCCACACAGCAGCTCCCAGGGCAGCACGGAGGTCCTGGCCAGCGGGAAGCGCGAGGGCTCTGAGAAGGGGCGCGGGCGCGAGAGAGCCCGGAAGAGTCGGAAAAAGAAATCGGCGGCGGGCGCGAGCGAGCAGGCGAGGCCGGGCCGGGCCTGCGTGGCGCAGCGGCTGCGCTCGGGTGGCTCGGCGCGGGCGCAGGCCCCGGGGCAGCCCGCCGGGCAGCGCCGCGCGGCACGGCCCTCCGCACAGGTCTCCGACTTCCTGGCCAAGCAGCTGGAACGAGCCCGCAAGGARGGGCAGATGGAGCTGCGTGCCGAGCGCGCCCCGCGGCCCCGGGGCAGACCCCGCGGTGCCACGACCGCCTCACAACCCAGCGCGGAGCATGGGGAGCCCCACAAGGAGCCGGAGGCCGGGAGTGTGGTCCTGGCTGCGGAGAAGGCTGACACCGTGGTGCTTTGGGAGAAGGCTGCACCAAGCACGGAGGAGCTGCGGGCAGCAGCACAGCCCGGCCCCACGGAGCCGCGTGAGGCCAGGGAGTCCTTGGCACAGGTGCCCGGCGGCCGGCAGAGCAGCAGCACGGAGGCCACCTCTCTGCTGCCCAGCACGGAGCCCGTGGCGGAGCCGGCCGAGGGGCTGCCCAAGGAGGSCCGGCCCAAGGCGCTGAGCCTGCGCGAGTACCGCATGCGCATGCTGCAGCGCCAGCCCAGCGCGGGCGCCAGGAAGGACGGCGAGCAGCCGCCAGCCGGCAAGTGGCCCAGCGTCCCGGAGCCCCCRACGGAGCTGGCCGAGATCCCCTGCCTGGTATCGCCTGTGCGCCCRCCCACCGAGGCCCCCAGCGCCCCGAAGAGCCCGGAGAAGCCCACCAGCCCGGCAGCTGTCCCTCCTCCTGCCGCCAAAGCTCCTGCCGCCTCAGCTCCAGTGCCGTCGGCTGCTCCGCTGCCCTCAGCCACATCGGTGCCTTTCACCGCACCCCACGTGCCCCCTGTGACGGGGGCGATGCCGCCAGCGCCGGCCGGTGCTTATGCCCTTTACCCACCCGTGCCTTCGTGGCCCTGCTTCGGCCCGCAGCCCGTGGGCTGCCCCGGCCTGCCCCCGCCGCCCACCGCCGCCTCGCCCGCCGCCTTCCACGTGGTGCCCGGCCTCACACCGCCAGCCATGGCCTGGCCCCCGCCGCCCGCCGTGCCGCCCTTCGGCCCCGGCACCCCCTATGCCCCRCTGGGCTGGGCACCGCCATCCTACTGGCCAGGAATCCCGCTGCCACCTCCGGTGCCTCCACCGGTCTACGGAGACCCCGGCGCCGCCCTGCAGAGCGCGGTGGCCGCTGCCACGTTCCCGGCCGGCGGGCTGCCCGGCACGGC